AAACCAAAGGTGTTACCCAGGATGGAACCCGGATCCCGGACCACAGTCAGTGGTGTAACCAATTGAGCTATCGCGTCATTGATGTTCTTTCCTTTTTGTATCATAGTCAAAAATAAGAACACGTTCCCTGCTGTCACAATATGAAACCCCAAAAAGGTAACCAATGAACGAGTATCTGAATGTAATATTTCTATCGCTATCTCTTTCTCTGTCGTCACAATAAGTAAACCCCCGAAAAAAAAGAGCCAATCTATATATCTTGTATGCTCTGGACTGCGGGACTTATACCTGTACTACAGTTAACGCACAGTGCATGTATATGTATGCTATTTAACTCACACATTTTCAGCAAAATGATCCCCTAACTATGATACAATACATTTTTAATGTTTGCATCCGAAAAATGGTCATCGTTCCTGTCAACGACCGAAATTGCATCAATAATTTAAAAAAAGCTCATTAAACGTAATAAAGATATGAAAAAGTTTACTTCCCTTCTGGTATTTTTCTTAAAATTAGACATTTGGAAATTGCTAGGCGGAGCTTAACTTTCAAGGCGGAGCTTAACTTTTAAAATTCAGCCTCTATATACACCCTGTATCATATCTTTCGGACAATTTAGCTGACGAGCTTCATTTGGTGTATTAAGAAAACTGTAAGAAATAAATACAAAGCTATGAAAGGTGTATAAAATTATATTCTTAACTTCATTTTTCTTGTCAGCATTTTAACTGTCAGGGCGGCTGATACAAAAATTGAGAAAAAAACATTTGCTGTCAGAAGTTTGAATATTTTGAAAAAATCAGGCCATGATAAAGCAAATGAATATCGAAAACGATTTGTAGATGACTTCAAATACAACAGGGTCAAAATCTACAATATTAAAAGTTTGTTAACATTCAAAGTTAGCTTTGATGAGAGTTCTTATTCATTGTTAAGTGTCATTGTGAAACAATATGATGGTAGTATACCGGAGTTTTGGGAGTTCAAAACCTATTATATGACTTTGGTATCAGATGTTGTTGCAATGGCTCTTTTATACGAAAAGTTCTCTGACAACAATCTTTACAATGAAACTCTGTCATCATGGCGCCAAGATATTGATGGTATTTTCAGAGACTTTCAAGAACAGGAAGATGCGTGTGTGAAAGTGTCGCTCGCGTAAGCGAGACAGATTTTGAAAAGACATCAAAAGCAGGAGAACTTTATGAAAGTAATCATCGTAAATATCCCCCATCTGATTTCTGATACTCTTCGTGTAGGCGGAAGTTATTGTGCTCTAGTTCTTAAAGGATATGATAAACTTTTCAAAAAGTCAAATGGCAATACAAGAACATATCAATTTATAAGTAGCGAAGAAAATTATATCAACTATAACCAAGAGCAACTAGAGAGGGTAGCATCGGTGGAATTTGACAACTGTAAGAGCAGTGTTGAGAATATCCACCTATACTTTCATGTTTCAAAGCACGATCTCGTTCTTTGGGTGATGTACCCTAGAAGCCATGCAGCATATACAGACATATTACTCGACAAAAGTGAGTTGATACGTATATTTATATTATGTATATTATAAGTATGAAATAAAGTGCACAGAAAAAAATACAATATAAAGTAAATATATAATTACGAATAAACCTTTTTCCTAAATAACACTGGTTGAATTTTTAAAATATTTTTATTATTATGTAAAAAAAAACATATTCCTATTTTGTCAATATTATTTTAAAAGACGTATGTAAGAGACGCCAGTATGGTATGATAATGATGTAACAATAGAGTCGTGCCAGATTGTAAGTTCGGGCGGGCTAATGATTGTTTTTAACTCCCTCGCTAACGAGAGAACCCAGACTCGCGTTCGAGGAAAATGTAAATTATAAGAATATAATATCATGCTTTCTAGTTTAAGCAATCAAACGTAGGCCTATACACTTTAAGCTCGTAAATACATATTTAACTTTCTGTCTCACAATTCAACAAAATGTCCAGAAATAACGGCGGTGATTTGATATTATTAAGAGTAAATTTGTTTGAATTGGAGTGTTCAATAAGCGACAATAAGTGTTTTTTTTGTAGACTCAAAGTGTTACATATAATTATTTTGTTAATATGAAGGGTAGATCGAGTCAAAGAGAAACACCGAGTGACGTTCTCAATAATTTTAGCCTTCCTAAAATTTGAAAATATTCAGTGAAAAAACAATAGATCTAGCATATTTTTCGCGGGAGAAGAAATACCGCGTATTGTATATTTTGAAGCTAAAAGAGAAGAATTTACATAAATAAATAAATAAATACTTTTATTTCCTCCAATATTGAAGAGCATAACATATTTACAGAGGTGAACATAGACATATACATAAACAAGTATAATACATATTAACAAAATAGTATATCCAATTTAGCAGCGTTCATATAGTAAGAAGAAATGCATTAGAAATATTTTACATTAACTACATAAATTATATCAGATGTAGAAAACAAATATAACAAAATAAATCTTAACTTACAATTTGTCTCATGAGGTGTTATTTTGTCTTAACATATTAACTAGTATACTTATCAAGGATCGTATATAGCTCAAGAGGCAGCCAAGTATCAAATGTACAAACAGTTATCAAGGTATCATATATTGCTCAGGAGGTAAGTATCAAATGTACAGACAAATATTAACTAGTATACTGTACAGACAAATATAAACTAGTATACTTATAAGTTATTAAGGTATCATATATAGCTCAAGAGGTAAGTATCAAATATACAGACACACATTAACTAGTATACTAACCAAGGTATCATATATATCTCAAGAGGTAAGTATCAAATGTACAGACAAAAATTAACTAGTATAGTTATCAAGGTATCATATGTAGCTCAAGAGGTAAGTATCAAATGTAAAGACAAATATTAACTATAGTCTGTCCCATTAAAAATGGAAATGAACTTTTGCCTGGTGTGAATTAACAAAACGAGGTTGAATAAAAATTTAACTATTTTTGTAAACTAAAAAAAAGTCACCCTCGAGATTTTTCAGGATTTTACTCTAAAGTGTCTACTTTTCTTGTGAAAGCAAATTTTGATTTCTCTAGAGCGGGTTAGGGTATTTCTGAACACGTGGTAGTTTCTGAACACTGTCATATTTTCGTGTTAAATGAACATTGTTCCGAGATTTTAACTCAGAATTATGAAATCAAGCACACCCCTTTCTACTTCCGGTAATTTTTTTGCAGACGCTGCCCAAGGTGAGTTTTATTTTTTGAAAAATATATTTGAAGTCATCGTTTTAACACCTGTAAACTACATCCTTAACATTGTAACACAATACTTGCTAACATTATCTGTTGTTAACTTTTGTTGATATTGGCTTTTAAACTGGAAAAAAAAACACATTGTACATCTTACTTGTAAGTGTTATTAATGGATTGTGTCCCCAGGTGCATTTGATTTTCATTTAAACGATGTTCAGAAATACCCGAAATAAATTTATTCATTTCGGGTATTTTCTGAACAATTTTCTGTAACATGTTTACTTGACTTAATTCATGATCATCAAAATTTAAGAAGAGCTCGTTTTAATATCTAGTTTGAAAAAACAAACAGCAGGGGTAGGACTTTCTTACTGTTTATATCTGTTCTTTTCGTTTTGTGACATTCTATAGTTGATAATCATTTTATTAATATCATTTTTTCTAGTTTCAAATGAAAATTTATATTTTTAAGATAGCTCCTCCTGATTCAAATGAATACATGTTTAGAACGTAAGTTTTCCCCCTATATTAAGCTGTTTTTTACTAATTAAACTTTTTCAGATGAGTCGCCAAATTGGATCAAAGAAGTATCGTTCCTATACTGTTGACACATTGCAACATGCAGTGAACCTAATTCGGAGTAAATCCATGTCACTTAATCAGGCAGCTGCATCCTTTGTATTCCAAAGAGCACTCTATCCGACAAAGTAAACCAGAAGACCGTAATTGGTTGTAAAAGCGGCCCAGCTACCATACTTACTGCAGACGAAGAATCTACTCTTGTAGATTGGGCTCTACATATGGCCAAAGTTGGGTTTGGACGAACCCGTAATGAATTGTTAGACACAGTAAAGGTTATACTGGATAAAGATGGTCGACCCAAACCCATTCAAAAATAATCGGCCGGGAAAAGACTGGTATTATGCATTTGTTAAAAGGCATCCTCAATTAGGAGAACGAACACCACAACAACTTGCTAAAGAACGAGCCATTATTACCCCAGCTAAGATTGAAAGCTGGTTTCAGGAATTCTGTAATTTTATGGCCGAGGAGGTATCTGATTCTTCCATATGGAACAATCCCGCTCGCTGGTTTAACGCAGACGAGTCGGGATTTCCATTGTGTCCAAAAAGTGGTAAAGTTTTGTCGCCAAGGGGTGTTCCGAATATATACAACTTCACTGCTTCTGATAAAACACAAGTAACTGTATTAGCATGCATGAGTGCGGCAGGTCAGTATGTAAAACCTTTGATTGTTTATCCAGGTGTAAGGTTTAATTATAACCCTCTAGAAGGATTTGCTGACGCTGTCTTTGGTAGGACAGAGTCCGGATGGATGGACTCTGAAACTTTTTGTTACATGGCTAACTGAGGTATTTGAGCCTGCGCTGTCTGAAAGGGAAATCAGAAGACCTGTAGTCCTGTTTGTAAATGGTCATTCTACACACTGCACATTAGAGGCCTCCAAGTTTTGTAGAGATCACGAAATAATCCTTTACTGCCTACTTGAGCATGCGTCCCACCTGCTGCAACCTTGCGACCTGAAACTATTCAGCTCACTGAAGGATTCCTGGAAACAAGCAGTACGTGATTTCCAAATAGCCAACATAGGTGAATACGTCACAAAACAAAAGTTTGCGGCCGTTTTTAAGCAAGCCTGGGAAAGTCTACAACTGTTGATATAGCTGTAAAAGCCTTTCGTGACAGTGGACTTTTTCCAATGAACCCAAAGAAGGTTTTTAGGTACTATTAAGATGGAACCAAGTACAATCTTTTCCAAGGCCGATACAACAGAAGCTGCAGCATCTTCCCAGGCAAGTCACGCAGCTACAAATAGAGGTGACAGCACCTCTGACAAAGTTGCCTCCGACCACCCACCTGAAACACTCGTGTCAGATAAAAGTAGCAGCAGTTGTACATCTAAATCTGAAAGTCATGTCACGCCTGATTCTCATGCAGACACCATTCTTGCAACCCAACTCCGTTGAGCGTGTTTCAGGTGAGAACTTACCTCAAGCAATAGCACCTATTATGTCGTCACCTTCTCAAACGTATCACCAGCCTTCACAGATGTGTTGAAATTTTCCAAAAGCAAAACAATCTGCTTGCAAAAGTAAACAAAAGCGAATACCACTCCCAAAAGCAATATCTGGTAAAAAGTTTCATGATCTGCTTGAACAAAGAAAACAAATTAAACAGGAAGAAAATGCTAAAAAAGAAGCACGTAAAGTTAAAAGAGAGGAACGCAAGAAGGAGCGAGAGGAGCAGCTGAAACAAAAGCAAAAGGATAAAGAAGAAAAGAAACTACAACGAGAACAGCAGAAGGAAGAACTAAAGAGAAAAAAACAAATTGAAAATTTAGAGCAAGAACTTAAAAAGAAACGGAAATCAAAGGATTCTGATATAGATAGTACAGATGAAGAAAATGAAGCTATTGAAATCTCCCTTGCTGATGACGAAATGGCCGATGTAGAAACAAGTTTTTCTACCACCAAATGCTATTCTTGTGACCAGGCATTTGATGGAGACTCCGAAAACTGGATTACATGTCACAAATGCCCACGTTGGTTACATAGAGCTTGTGTTGAAAACAATTGATTTGCTCTCATTGTCTGAATGTGAAATTGCAGATTTACAATTTGAATGTGACTACTGTTGAATTACAAAGTAAAACAGAATGTATGTTAAGAATTCTGAAAGACCCAGTTTTTCTTTTGTTTAATAAAAAACAATTATGTAAACATGGCATGAACTGTATTGTGAAAGGTTAGGATGTTTCTGATACTTAATAGTTTAAAAGTTATGTTTTAACTATTTTGAGTATTTTAATTTTATTTGAAAGTGTGTTTGTTTTAATGAAATGTACTTGAATGTTTATTTTTTAAATTTGGATGTATTCACTAACAAATCATATGTTTAACGTTTAACCGTTTAAACTGAAAGTATTTAGTGTTTGTGTTGTTTTTTTTAAAAAGTCAAAAGTGTTCAGATTTACCCTCCAATGAGTTCAGAATCTCCCGACGTGTTCATAAATTACCTCCATCAAATGACATAATTTATCCTGTTGTACTGCTTTTGTATCTATAATGTATCATGATTTGTTCGAAATATCCCGCAGAAAAGTGAGTCCGTGTCATTTCTGACTACTTGAGAAGTTGCCAAGACAATCTGTTTTAGTTAGATAACATATTTTTGCTTAAGTGTTCAGAAATACCCGAACCCGCTCTATGGAAAATCTCTGTTGTTTATTTTCCGTAGCCATTGCCGAAGTACTCTTCATTTGAAGATGAACGGGAGAAAGCACGTGTCATGTTTCTAAAATATACACGAGGTTCTCGGGGTCGTTTCATAATTATTTTACAAAGCTGGATCTACAAGATGTAACAGTTTAATTGCAACGCATGATTGAAAACATGGAAAAAATGAAAAATAAGCAACAAGAACACCGAGTCACATGGATAAAAGATCTAGAAATTACACTTACGTTTAAAAGCTGAATAGAATTCCTATGAATTTCGGAATAGATCTTTATAAACGTCACTTCTGAAGTTTCCTTCATTGCCAGTTTCTATCCAGTTCCGTAGATCCGATTTTTTCTACTTTGAAACTCCTAAATGACATGACTCCTACACTTATGTCATGATGATCCAGATTTTTTAAACTGTTAATCCGTCTCATTATTAAAACATTGTTCAATTTGTGGAGTTATCATGGTTAGCAAATGAAATATGTAAATGAAACACATCATAATTCAGCATGTTCCAAATCCATAATTCAAGAACGGCCCACCATCAATTTTAGTTGTCAACATCACAATGCTTATAACTCTTGAACGAAAAAAAAACTTTATTACGTCAACAATTTACGAAATATATGACGTAACAAAAATGCCTCGCGATTCCAGTTGCGGCATTGACAGAGAGCGGTTAGGCATATGTAACCTCAAACAGATAATTTTAAGCGTTGAGATGAATTTGTCTTGATGGCATTTAAAATAATTTTTGTAAACCCAGATTTTGCAACTTAACTGTAAAAAATACACCTTCAATTCATATATTAATAATAAAACTTTTGATAACATTTAAATAATTTTAAACACACTTAATGACATGAATCTACAACAGTACAATACTTCTTCCATTAATTACATATAACATTCGTTTTGATTTTATGTTTTTAAACTATTTTACATATTTCTCAGAAATAATTTCCCTACATATTATCTCGTTTTTCATGACTTCTGTAAATCCTACTCTTTTAGCTACAAAATATACAATACGCCGTATTTTTCTCCCGCGAAAAATATGCTAGATCTATTGTATTTTCACTGAATATTTTTAAATTTTAGGAAGGCTAAAATTATTGAGAAAGTCACTCGGTGTTTCTCTTTGACTCGATCTCCCCTTCATATTAACATAATTATATGTAACACTTTGAGTCTAAAAACACACTTATTGTCGCTTAATTATTGAACACCCCAATTCAAACTTATTCTTAATAATATCAAATCACTGACATTTTGTTGAATTGTGAGACGGGAAGTTAAATTTGTATTTACGAACTTAAAGTGTATAGGCCTACGTTTGATTGCTCAAACTAGAAAGCATGATATTATATATTCTTATAGTTTACATTTGCCTCGAACGCGAGTCTGTGTTCTCTCGTTAGCGAGGGAGTTAGTTAAAGTAGACACTGTGGTAACAAATTTCTTGTCAGATTTGCATGATAAAGTAGTATTTGTTGGCGATTTCTTGTGAAAGTTGAAACCTACGGAAAGTTTTACCGCACGGACATCGCACCCGAAATAAGAAGGGTAACATATTCTTGTATCCCATCGAACCTGGTCAATTTAATTATTTTTGAATAGAAGTGATACATACCTATGGACAGAATTCAGACAACTACAGAATTGTGTAAAGTAAACATTAATTAGCGAAGAACCATTTTTTATAGTCTTCTAGCTGGGTCATATAGGGGTTGCGTTCATTGAACGCCGCCTTTCCTTGTTGATCTTGTTCATCATATTCTAGCTGTGTTTCCGCTCCCCTACGACATGTTGCGGTAAGATACGCACTTTATTGGAAAGCTATTTAATCAAATCACTTCATTGTTCTTTTAATCTTAAAAAATACGACAGTTTATCATGGTAATTAATTTAATCTTTGTGTGTAAGAATTTATAAAGCGGTTAGCGATATTTTAGCTTTAAATGATTTTGATTATTTTAAATAATAGTTTGCTAGTAAAATTGCCTTTTTGACACCAACTTTGTTCTCATTTTTCATTTTAATAATAACATTTAGCTATTGATCAGTAAGCAAATAAGAATAATCAAATTTTTATATTACCGAGTACATTTCACCGTAATTGTGAGACGAACCCTAAATGACGTCTGTATGGGCGCCGCCATTTTTAAATCGACGTCACGTCAGGTTACAACGTAAGTCAACGGGGAAAAATATAATTTTAACATTTTGACCATATTACTGACTTTATGAAAAAAATGAAAAACATGCCTAGAGATATTGACGTCTGGGTTAAGATGACATTAATTTAAATGATTTTACTATTATATTAAATAAAAAATGGAATGTTCAAATTTGATGGGACAGACTATAGTATACTGTACATAGAGGATATTGAATGAGTGTAAGTTCAATACTGAATTTATTGCACGAGTTGAATAAAATTATATTATGCGAGCCTCTGGCGAGCATAATATTATTTTATTCAACGAGTGCAATAAATTCAGTAATGAACTTACACGAATTTAATATTCTATTTATCACATACCCAAAATAAATACCGTTTAAAGTGAAATAAGAGTCATTTTTCATTGACGCGCCTATAGTATAACGCTAACATTTAGCGCGTCTTTACACTATGTTTGTATAACGCTAATGACGTCACGTCAAAATATATGCACGGCCGTGCAATACCATTTTTACGGAGTCGCAAAATCGGCACGGGTGTGTGATAAAGACAAATTTTAATTAGTATACTTATCAAGGTATCATATATTGCTCAAGAGGTAAGTATCAAATATACAGACAAACATTAACTAGTACACTTATCAAGGTATCATATATAGCTCAAGGGGTAAGTATCAAATGTACAGACAAGTCTGTACACACAAATATTAGCTAGTATAGTTATCAAGGTATCATATATAGCTCAAGAGGTAAGTATCAAATGTACAAACAAATATTAGAGAAAAAAGAAAGTCACTAGTATCAGATATACAGGTTGTGTTGTGTGGATTGCAATATAGTTTGAATGTAATAGTTGAATTTTTATAATAGTTAACATGTATATATTTAATCAAATATTATAAGAAGGTATATATCCGTGTGCTTGCGATAAACATCATTATGTCACATAGATTACAGTAATTTAAATTAGAAATAAAAAAAACTGCTTACAGCATTATTTTTTATCCTTATAACATTATGTTGGCATATCTGTCATATTTGACAAAAGTCTATGCGGACGAAAACGAAAACGTATAGACTGATGAGATGACAATTACATGATATCATGTTATATATAAATATAGTTATACTATTTAGAGTTGGTTCCTATTTTATTAGTTTTACAAGTCCTGTATTAGGTATTTATTACACCGAGTTAATTCCGGCTTTTTGTTCATTATAGAGACCTGGAACTCTATAAGATTTCACAGTCACCCTCCAGGTACCAATCTTTTCTAGTTTGTGCGGATCTTTAAGAGATTACGAATAGACTTCGCAACTCTATAATTGCGCAACGCTAGACTGCCATTATCAGACGCTAGCCGGAAACATTGCCAGCATTGTTCCTCAGGTGACAACGCAAGAAGGTCTATAAATGTTGTCATTCCGCATTCCTCAATGACTGAGTCCCACAATCTGATTATATTGTTGTTGTTTACCGTACAGAAGCACATCAAGTGTACGATTTGATTTTCGCAAAGCCTGTTGCATTTTTTACATGTTACAACATATGACTGGGACATAAAACTACCTATAGTTTCCATTAAAAAAGAACACATATACGCCGTTTTAGGGTTGTTTCTTGATACATACCACAACGTCGCTGGCAATGAATACTGGATTATTCCACATAACTCACGTCTTGACAGTATTAATCGGTCAACACGCGTGTAGGTTGCAGTATTTGTAATGGCTGAGCGTAAAGTAACTTTCCATGCATATTTCGAAGGGAATACGCCACTTTCTTAATATGAGTAAAGGACACTTTCAAGATTATATTTCTGCAATAGTCTGTATACATCGGGTATAAATCCACGACTCTGATTGTCAAAGTTCAAATACTTTATCAGTCGCGTAATGAACACTTGTTTTGCCAAATATTGGCAAGGCAGACGGCATAATTGGCCTAAGAAATTTAGCTTTCTGTAGTTTATAATTTCTTCAATACCGTCAATATTTATTGAACTTAATGCAAAGTCAGTGGATGTATGGCGTTTAAATGTTTGCATAAACTTAACACAAAAGCGGTGAGACAATTCAAGTGTCCGAATGTCTGATGCCGAGTATACATTCCATAACTCACATTCGTAGAGGGCCTTTGGGAGTACAACTGAGCGGTAGATAGTTC